TTATGTCTGTCAGTGAGGACAGATGGTTACTGTATTGTGTTGTTGTAGTTATGTCTGTCAGTGAGGACAGATGGTTACTGTATTGTGTTGTAAGTAGTTATGTCTGTCAGTGAGGATAGATGGTGACTGTATTGTGTTGTGGGTAGTTAAGTCTGTCAGTGAGGATCGATGGTTACTGTATTGTGTTGTTGGTAGTTATGTCTGTCAGTGAGGATAGATGGTGACTGTATTGTGTTGTTGGTAGTTATGTCTGTCAGTGAGGACAGATGGTTACTGTATTGTGTTGTAAGTAGTTATGTCTGTCAGTGAGGATAGATGGTGACTGTATTGTGTTGTGGGTAGTTAGGTCTGTCAGTGAGGATCGATGGTTACTGTATTGTGTTGTTGGTAGTTATGTCTGTCAGTGAGGATAGATGGCGACTGTACTGTGTTGTTGGTAGTTATGTCTGTCAGTGAGGATAGATGGTGACTGTATTGTGTTGTTGGTAGTTATGTCTGTCAGTGAGGACAGATGGTTACTGTATTGTGTTGTTGGTAGTTATGTCTGTCAGTGAGGACAGATGGTTACTGTATTGTGTTGTAGGTAGTTAAGTCTGTCAGTGAGGATAGATGGTGACTGGACTGTGTTGTTGGTAGTTATGTCTGTCAGTGAGGACAGATGGTTACTGTATTGTGTTGTAGGTAGTTATGTCTGTCAGTGAGGATAGATGGTGACTGTACTGTGTTGTTGGTAGTTATGTCTGTCATTGAGGACAGATGGTTACTGTATTGTGTTGTAGGTAGTTATGTCTGTCAGTGAGGATAGATGGTGACTGTACTGTGTTGTTGGTAGTTATGTCTGTCAGTGAGGATAGATGGTGATTGTATTGTGTTGTAAGTAGTTATGTCTGTCAGTGAGGATAGATGGTGACTGTATTTTGTTGTTGTAGTTATGTCTGTCAGTGAGGACAGATGGTTACTGTATTGTGTTGTTGGGAGTTATGTCTGTCAGTGAGGACAGATGGTTACTGTATTGTGTTGTAGGTAGTTAAGTCTGTCAGTGAGGATAGATGGTGACTGGACTGTGTTGTTGGTAGTTATGTCTGTCAGTGAGGACAGATGGTTACTGTATTGTGTTGTAGGTAGTTATGTCTGTCAGTGAGGATAGATGGTGACTGTACTGTGTTGTTGGTAGTTATGTCTGTCAGTGAGGACAGATGGTTACTGTATTGTGTTGTAGGTAGTTATGTCTGTCAGTGAGGATAGATGGTGACTGTACTGTGTTGTTGGTAGTGATGTCTGTCAGTGAGGATAGATGGTGACTGGACTGTGTTGTAGGTAGTTATGTCTGTCAGTGAGGACAGATGGTGACTGTACTGTGTTGTTGGTAGTTAGGTCTGTCAGTGAGGATAGATGGTGACTGTACTGTGTTGTTGGTAGTTATGTCTGTCAGTGAGGACAGATGGTTACTGTATTGTGTTGTAAGTAGTTAAGTCTGTCAGTGAAGATAGATGGTGACTGTACTGTGTTGTTGGTAGTTATGTCTGTCAGTGAGGATAGATGGTGACTGTACTGTGTTGTTGTAGTTAGGTCTGTCAGTGAGGACAGATGGTGACTGTACTGTGTTGTTGTAGTTAGGCCTGTCAGTGAGGATAGATGGTGACTGTACTGTGTTGTTGTAGTTAGGTCTGTCAGTGAGGATAGATGGTGACTGTACTGTGTTGTTGTAGTTAGGTCTGTCAGTGAGGACAGATGGTGACTGTACTGTGTTGTTGTAGTTATGTCTGTCAGTGAGGACAGATGGTGACTGTACTGTGTTGTTGTAGTTAGGTCTGTCAGTGAGGACAGATGGTGACTGTACTGTGTTGTTGTAGTTAGGTCTGTCAGTGAGGACAGATGGTGACTGTACTGTGTTGTTGTAGTTAGGTCTGTCAGTGAGGATAGATGGTGACTGTACTGTGTTGTTGTAGTTATGTCTGTCAGTGAGGATAGATGGTGACTGTACTGTGTTGTTGTAGTTAGGTCTGTCAGTGAGGACAGATGGTGACTGTACTGTGTTGTTGTAGTTAGGTCTGTCAGTGAGGACAGATGGTGACTGTACTGTGTTGTTGTAGTTAGGTCTGTCAGTGAGGATAGATGGTGACTGTACTGTGTTGTTGTAGTTAGGTCTGTCAGTGAGGACAGATGGTGACTGTACTGTGTTGTTGTAGTTAGGTCTGTCAGTGAGGACAGTTGGTGACTGTACTGTGTTGTTGTAGTTAGGTCTTTCAGTGAGGATAGATGGTGACTGTACTGTGTTGTTATAGTTAGGTCTGTCAGTGAGGACAGATGGTGACTGTACTGTGTTGTTGTAGTTAGGTCTGTCAGTGAGGACAGATGGTGACTGTACTGTGTTGTTGTAGTTAGGTCTGTCAGTGAGGATAGATGGTGACTGTACTGTGTTGTTGTAGTTAGGTCTGTCAGTGAGGACAGATGGTGACTGTACTGTGTTGTTGTAGTGAGGCCTGTTAGTGAGGACAGATGGTGACTGTACTGTGTTGTTGTAGTTAGGTCTGTCAGTGAGGATAGATGGTGACTGTACTGTGTTGTTGTAGTTAGGTCTGTCAGTGAGGACAGATGGTGACTGTACTGTGTTGTTGTAGTTAGGCCTGTTAGTGAGGACAGATGGTGACTGTACTGTGTTGTTGTAGTTAGGTCTGTCAGTGAGGATAGATGGTGACTGTACTGTGTTGTTGTAGTTAGGTCTGTCAGTGAGGACAGATGGTGACTGTACTGTGTTGTTGTAGTTAGGTCTGTCAGTGAGGATAGATGGTGACTGGACTGTGTTGTTGGTTGTTATATCTGTCAGTGAGGATAGATGGTTACTGTACTGTGTTGTTGGTTGTTAGGTCTGTCAGTGAGGATAGATGGTTTCTCTACTGTGTTGTTGGTTGTTAGGTCTGTCAGTGAGGATAGATGGTTTCTCTACTGTGTTGTTGGTAGTTAGGTCTGTCAGTGAGGATAGATGGTTTCTCTACTGTGTTGTTGGTAGTTATATCTGTCTGTGAGGATAGATGGTGACTGTACTGTATGGTTGGTTGTTAGGTCTGTCTGTAGGTCAGACCAGTTTCTCAAGATCATGTTCAGGCAGAAACTCAAACTGAAAGCATATGGATGTATTTGTTTTGAAAAACTAACCCATCCAATATAGGTACACAAAATGCCACACCCCCTGGAGTCATTTGAACAAGGATCATGTGCAAGTATCTGATCCATGTAATGAACTTAAGTGATTTGTGTGAACCTGAAACATTGTCTCTGTGGAACTTGGTAAACATCAACTGCTAAATAAATAAATATATATTCACTGACAAAAGAAACGCAAATCATATAGGTATGTTGGTTAAGATATGAAGAATTACTCATATTTAGGATATATTAGATAGGTTTGCACAAACAAACATACTGGTATGTTGTGTGAATCAGTGCTCATGAATACATGACGTCATAGATCCATGACCATTTGTCTCGTGCAGGATTTGCGTGTAAAGTTTGGAAATCATGTGTAGCATATCGTGATAAGAATAAAGACACTCTTTGGTAACACTTGACTGATTGTTAGTTTTGTCATTAAGTGGTACCCGGTTCATGTTGGAAACATCTTTTCTTAACATACATACTTCTCTATATGTTTGTATGGTTTGCATTTCTTTTGGCGGTGAGTATGTGTTAAAACTTAAGTTTACAGACAAACTGGGTTTTAAATGATTTGATAGGACAGCCAACTGGCCAGAGAATCTCCCTTTGTGAGTAATGCTATCCATAAACATGCTAGATGTGATGCAGGTTGAAGGAATAGCTGTAATTGAATGATTTGAATCTGTCAACCCCACGCAACATGGTTGGATATTGGGAAACTTTGATGTGTAAGATGCGTAAATGTCAAATAAAATAAAATAGAATATGGGATTACAAATATAAAAGGAAAGGAAAACAATAAAATGGAAGGAAAAGCTTATAATATTCTGCTATGAGTATTGGGGGCATGGGTGACCCAGTCAGCTAAGGTGCCGCAAATCACGGTGCAGAGTTGTGTCCCTTTGGCTCGCCTGAAACCTATGATTGTGGGTTCAAATCCTGGTTTGCCTGAATTATGTTTCTTGGTCTGCCAGCACCATACCCAGTATCACTTTGGGCGTTCCGCCCACATTAAGCTGACACGCTGTTATATAACTGAAATACTGTTGAACGGTATTAAACTTAACTTACTGTCACTCAAATGCAGTACTGAGAAGTACCTTGTAATGGTTTGTGCTGCTGACATACACTGAGGTTCTAAAAGGGGATTACGTCCGGTTAGAATAATACTTCTGCTATATTATGATGTTTTATATAAGTGTTTGTACATTTTCCCAAGGCAAGGGCGTTAGCTGACTAAAAAAGTCCAGTTTCCACCCTAGGAAACAGCCGAACTAGGCTGGAATTTCCAGGCTCGATCGTAGTGCCACCAGTGGCTAATATGAGTTACGTCCCTTCTATGTCCCTCCTACTGACCAATCAGATTCCATATCTACAGTGCACACTCAAGATGATCTGATAGATAATCAAGCTCTATACTGTATTAAAACGGGTCTTACTTTGTGAAGTGCATCAAATCACTTGAGCAGCTTGATTAAAAACATGAAAAGATTTGCAAAATATCTTTTTAACGCCCAGTTGGCAGAACACATGCTTTGCAAATCCTGCAGTCGACCGAAATCTACACTTTGAAATCCATGTTGTTTACAAACCGGATGTCTAGTTCATTTTACGATTGTGATTGGACTATGCATAGACTCATTAGCTTAGCCAAAATGTAACTCTGGAATTCCTGCGTAGTGCGGCAAGGGTGGAAACTGGACTTTTATAGTCAGTTAATGCCCTTGCTTCGGGAAGATGGGGTTGGTACAGCACTGTATGGATTTTCTTGTCTTCTGTTCATTTTATACAATGTTAACTTTTTGTCCATCTTTGATGTAATATTTTCTAATTTGTCTTTTCAGGTTTACGAAATCGCCAGACAGGGTCACATGGTCTGAATGAGTTCTCTAGCCGCAGCCACAGTATGTTGACCGTGACGATTGACTCGGAGACCCAGCCAGACCAGGAAGACGAGAACCTGTATGTCACAAAGCGAGGGAAGCTATCCTTCGTTGACCTTGCTGGGAGTGAGAAGGTCAAGGACAACACGACAGGTGCTGGGGCAGGGGTCATGTATGAATCCAACAGCATCAACAAGAGCCTATTAGTCCTAGGTGGGTTTCATATTAAGTGATTTATCATTGTTATGCTGAGGAAAATTTTAAGAGAAAAAACACCCTCAGCGATTGAAACTGTCACTTGTCCTATACTCCTTGCCAAACTGCCCAATAGGAAGGTGACATAAGGACTAGCAGACATTTGCCATTTTTAGAGTTTTGCTGACTGTTATCATCATTGTAATGACTAGTGGACTAAAAAAATTTAACCATTGACCCAATTGCTCATAATACGATTGGTGCTGTTCAATTGACCATATTGAAATAACACATTATCTGTTTTCCTAATGGGTGAAAGGTCCATCAGTTATTAAAAGTTGACCCCTGTTTTATTTTTTTACCCCCTTTGGATTCTGGTGAAGGATAGATCCCCAGTATCCCTTGCTTGTCGTTATAACCATCCACAGAGAATCAGATTGTCAGGTTTGGGGACTTGCGTTTTTTGCCGATGCTTTCAGTTGCTGGTCTGAATGGTCCAGACTTGATTATTTACATGCCACGTGGAAGTTTGACGACTCTCGCTATATCTAATATGAATTGTTCTCTAGGTTAATTATTGATAATATATCCCATGTCCTTGTAATCTATAATAGTTTACAGGATCTCGAGGCAAGAAACCTTCTACTTTGGTATAACAAAATTTCGAACTTAAAAATGCATACATATCAGTATTGAGAATTTCCTGTATTGCGCACGTGGGAGTAAATGCACTGCATGTTCCCGACAAGTATTTCAGGGCAGAACAGGTCCCCAGTATTGTGTGTCTGTTTCCTGATGGATTCCAGGGTGCCGTTGTCCAAAGCAATCTTAGCGCTAAGGTGATCATAATTCCCATACCTTAACATAGACTTACGATGGATTCCGGGGCATAACTGGTCTCTAGTACTGCTTGATTATACCCCAGTTTACGAAGTGAATCAGGGGTATATAGCGTTCCGTCCGTCCGTCCGAGCTTTTGTATGGCCCATAACTTTTTAACCATGCACCCTAACTTCACCAAACTTGCTACACCCATTTACCACAATGAGTACTTGTGCCTTTTGCTTCTTTGAAGATTCTGAACTTTTTAATTTTTGCCCTTTCCATGGAAACATTAGAAACTAAAACTTTTAGGGTGGGTGTTTTGTACGGCCCGTATCTTTTTAACCATGTACCCTAGCTTCACCAAACGTGCTACACTCATTTACCACAATGAGTACTTGTGCCTTTTGTAAGAAACATCAAGAATGTATGTTGTGCTAAGCATTGATTATCCCACACTAGATTGAAAAACATGTTTTCATTTCAAACATAATGCATCCTCATGGGGTTACAAAGGAAAGGGCAGTTCCTCTGACTTAAAGCAACAGGTATATTTCATTAATTAACAAACTATTTACAATTTGTTGTTCACCAGCAGGGATAACAGGGGTATGTGAGCTTTGTCAATCATTGTAGCACCGCATCACTCATCATTTGTCTGTCCAGGTAACTGCATCTCCCATCTGGGGGACTCCAAACGGAGACACGGACACATCCCGTACCGAGACAGCAAACTCACCAAGCTCCTGGCAGACAGTCTGGGAGGCAATGGTGTGACCCTGATGGTGAGTCTGTAACCACAACATAGTGTGTATAACTTATAACTTATAACTTATAAACCTACTGCCACTTTGGCCTACTGTATTGTAGATAGGGGTTACGGGTGGCCCAGTCGTCTAAGGTGCCATGATTCGCTGTGCGGAGTTGCGTCCATTGGGCACGCCAGAAACCTATGATTGTGTGTTCGAATCTCGGTTTGCCATGATTATATTCCTAGGTTTGTCAGCACCATACTCGTGCTTGTGGGTTTCACCGAAGTGGTAAACGTCTTAGACCTGCATCACTTCGGGCTTTCCTCCCACATTAAGCTAACACGCCGTGATATAACTGGAATACTGTTAAAAGCAGCATTAACCCCAACTCACTCTCACTGTATTGTAGATATCTTTCTATCTCAAAATAACCTCTTGGTAGGTTTTACTTGTTCCACGTAAGACCTGGTATGAGGTCTTACTCTATCCTAGTAAGATCTGGTATGAGGTTTTACATTTTGCAAGATTGACCTGATGATTTGAGTTGCACATGAAATTTGGACTTAGTGTTTCAAACGTCCAGTGTTCTAAAATCGAAGCCAAGTAATGTAACTTTTTCATTATTGATGACGGGAATAAACTCTGCAACCGCTCATACTCGTGGTAAAATTTGTACCTCAATGTTTTCCCTATGAGCCACCAGGCAAGTGGTTAGAGAGCGTTCAATTTTAGATGTCATGATTTAGTTTTGTCTCTGCTGCACGTGTTTCTTCTCTCGCACGCTTTGATCACATTTCTTTTATACTGCGACACACTGTATTGTTTCACTTAAGATATCTCGATGTTTTCTTATTTTTTCTGTTATTTCTTGTGTTTAGTTGGTTTATAAGTGAGATAAAGCACTCCACCTCGGTTATGGTCGAGGAAGTAAGACCTGGGCAATCGGGTATCAGACTTCCACGACCATAACCTCAGAGTCATGCTTTATCTTTCACATAACACGTGGTAGTTCAAACTTTGGGCTCTGGATACTTTCAGAAAATTACCCCATTTCTGTTTATTATAAACGTTTCAATTTTTTATGATGTGTAATGTGGCAGTGTTATGTAGGTTAGAATAATTAGAACTGCAGAAACTTGTTGATGTAAGTGACCTGTCATTTAGTTTTGGGGAGTGTGGGCCAGTGAGATAAATTGGTGAGAGTATCATGAAGAAATGACACAGTGAAAGAAGGGGGTGGCCAAATGTATAGGAGGAGGTGAAGCAAGAAAATAGGGACATGAAGGATGGGGGCTGACTGGGGCGGGGGAATTCAGAAATACCCTGATAATTTGGCACATATTACAAAACCCAGTGCTGTTATGCCTGAATGCTTGTTTGGACAGTATTTTTTACCTCTGAATCTAGTTTGACCAGACAGGGCTACATGTGAGAGAATATTGTATGTTTATTGTGTTACCTTGACCTTGTTTCAGATCACATGTATCACGCCTTCCTCCTGCAATGTCGCAGAAACTATGAATACTCTCCGCTACGCAAGTCGGGCCAAGAAGATCAAAACAAAACCTACAGTCAAGATGGTGAGAAGAATAATAGTGGTCATACACCTGTGAAAAGTTAAACAGCACTCCTTCCTTGTCTTTACTACTAGTGACAACCCCGTGAAGATCCAGGGTAGAATAGGTCTTCAGCAACCCCTGCTTGCCGTAACAGGCAACTAACAGGATTGGGTGGTCAGGCTCGCTGACTTGGTTGATGCATGTCATCGTATCCCATTTGCATAGATTGATGCTCATGATGTCAAACACTGGATTGTCTGGTCCAGACTTGATTGTTTCCAGACCGGCATCGTATTGCTGGAATATTGCTGAGTGTAGTATTAAAAACAAAAAACAAACAACATGTGACATAGGCCCTGTTTTGATGTATCTGAGATACTGGTACCTGACTGTGCTTTATCCCTCGATAAAGTACTTTTTGAGTTACATCATAATGGGCTGACATCATGACACTGTTCCAATTTCCTCCCCTGTGATCTAATAATAACATAATAACATAATAACATTGTCCTATCAATACAAATTGGAGCATGAAAGTTGTCATAAACATACTGTTAATGGTTGAACATTCAAGGGGTCCCAAGAATCATATGCCACAGGAGCAAACCTCAAGGATCCCAGGACCCCCGTAGTTCTCCCCCATGATTATTGTTTGTTCTTGAGTTTTGAATGCTTATGTGTCTTTTGTCCTTAGGATCCCAGGGAGAAGCTGATACTTAGTTTGAAGAGAGAAATAAAAATATTGCGGAATGAAAACCACTATTTGAGACAACAGGTGAGAACCACTTCTTAAAGCTTCAGGTGGGAACAATTATGTTGAACAAGAGGGGAGAACCACTTTTTGAGACAACAGGTTAGATCCACTGTTTGAGACAACAGGTGATAACCACTATTTGAGATAACAGGTGAGATCCACTGTTTGAGCAAAAGGTGAGATCTGCTATTTTGAGACAACAGGTGAGAACCACTATTTTGAGACAGCAGGTGAGAACCACCTTTTGAGACAACAGGTAAGAACCCCCTTTTGAGACAACAGGTGCAGATTACCGGTTGTGATAACATCTTTAACATTAAGAGAGAGAGAAAGAGTGAATGAATAAATTGACCATAATTACTTTGCAAGACAGAAGGTGAACACCTCAATTTCTGACAAGTAACAATACATAACCTGGAAACAATATGACAATCAACTTCTTACTGAAAATGTAAAAACAATTTTTGTGAACTTATGTGAAGTGAATGACATTGCTCCGTGTCTGGTAAGCCATCTCTCTTTGCCTCCCCAGCTGGAGTTCCCAGCCAAGCCGAAGGGGCAGCTGCAGAAAGAAAATGATGAGAAGTTCATGAAGTTTATGAAGGAGCAACAACAGAAAGGTGATTGCAGCTCTTCTCAGTCCCCCAGAACCAGACCTTCAGAAGCTATACTGCTCAACATGTGATAGGGATACTAGGAAATCGAATTCTTCCTGAGGCAATGGCTTCAAAACTATGTGTAATCAGTTTGTGTGCCTTATGAAAAAAGGAATATCCCTATCAAATGTTGAGTGGTATGTATTGGTGTAATTGATAAAGGGAGTACCATGATTCTTTTGTCAGTGGGTGAGTGAGTTAATAACTAAAGTCACATCGGAAATATTTCAGCCATGAGCCATGAATATAAATTGCCTTCATTAGTAAACTGCTGTCCAGTAAAGATCCCAATCTAATTTACAAGTTCATCCATTAAGATCTAGGTTCGCATAGGTCTTCAGCAACCCATGTTTGCCGTAAAAGGCAACTATTCTTGTCATAAGAGGCGATTAACGGGATCTGGTAATCAGGCTCAGACCCGATTATCGCAGACTGCCGTCATATAGCTGAAATATTTCTGAGTGCGGCGTGAAACAACAAACATAGTAAGCTGCTACACTTACACACATATAGACTGGATTGTGTTTGAAATGGCAGAGATTGATGATGCACAGGAGACTCATGCCCAGCGTTTGTCTTTCAGAGAGTGGTCTGTACGAGATGCTTCAGGAATACATGGTGGAAAACGAGAACCTCAGGTCAGTTGTCAGTTGTCAGTATGCTGCCAACCTCTGTATTTACAAGTAAAAGGCAGGACAATAATGATTCTGGTATAGAACATCTGAACAAGATGACGTTCTCAGTTTGTTGTAAGATGTGACTGAGGTATATTTGCATCTACAGGGGAGAGAATTCTGACCTTCATGCTGGAAGGGATAAGGTCCGACGAGAACAGCAGACTCTGTACAGAGAAAATGAAAAGCTGATGAAGAGAGTGGAGGATCTAGAGAGGTGGGTAGATCTGTCGGTAGGATGAGTGTTAAAGAGATTTGAGACCTAGAGAGGTGGGTAGATCTGTTGGGTTGGATGAGTTTTGAAGTTATTGGAGTTCTAGAGAGGTGGGTAGATCTGTCGTTTAGGATGAGTTTTGAAGTTATTGGAGACCTAGAGAGGTGGGTAGATCTGTTGGGTAGGATGAGTTTGGAAGAGAGTGGATATCTAGAGAGGTGGGTAGATCTGTCGGTAGGATGAATTTTGAAGTTATTGGATATCTAGAGAGGTTTGTAGATCTGTCGGTAGGATGAGTGTTGAAGAGATTTGAGGGTCTAGAGAGGTGGGTAGATGTCGGTAGGATTTGAGGGTCTAGAGAAGAGGTGGGTAGATCTGTCGGTAGGATTTGAAGGTCTAGAGAGGTGGGTAGATCTGTCGGTAGGATTTGAAGGTCTAGAGAGGTGGGTAGATCTGTCGGTCGGATTTGAGGGTCTAGAGAGGTGGGTAGATCTGTCGGTAGGATTTGAGGGTCTAGAGAGGTGGGTAGATCTGTTAGGAAGGCCCAAAGTGAAGTCATGAGTGAGACATTGATTCATAAAAGCCACAAGCACAGGTATGGTGCTGACAAGCTATATGAGGGCAAAACTGTGATTTGAACCCTGAATTGTAGGATCCTTAGAAGCATGCCCAAAGGATGCCTTTGACAGTGATGTAAATTTTGTGCTGGATGTACACATACAAGTATTGTATCATTTCTGCTATTTATAGAATTGTTTCAAAGAGTCCGGCAGCGTGGCAACAGGCACAGCGCCCCCTGCAACGTTACGATGGCTTCAATCAGTATGACATGGGATCACCTCGACAGTCCCCAGGACAGAATGGTCATCGTATCCCACAAAGGCTTCCTGTGAGTGCTCATGCTAATAAAACCCTATTTTCCAGGGCCCAGTGTCACCAGCCCCAGCATCAGGTCACTGATGATGATCTAACAAGTCATACAGAGATGCCAACCATTACAATTATGTCAGAACCATTAATATATTTTGAACCAAATTCCACAAATGACATTAAGTAAAATGTGTTACAAATGTTGTCCAAAAAGCGAGTGAGTGAGTTGGGTTTAACGCCGCTTTTAACAGTATTCCAGTTATATCGCGGCGTGTCAGCTTAATGTGGGAGGAAGGTCTCAGACGTTTACGACTTCGGTGAAACCCATGAGCACAGGTATGGTGCTGACAAACCTAGAAACATAATTGAGGCGAACCGGGATTCAAACCCACAATCATAGGTTTCTGGCGTGCTCAAGGGACGCTACTCCCTTGTCCAAAAAATATGGCTATTACTTAAGGTTCATATTGACCTCACAGTCACTTCATTGTAAAACACAAAATCAAAAGATCTTTTTTCATGAAAAATATATTGTCAGACATGCTAATAATCATTACTATTATTAAATTACTGGTACTAATTTTAGTTGCATAGTACTTCAGATATTCCTGTCGGGTAATTGCCTCAATTTGGGTTGGAATCTCGATGCCTACCAAAGAAAACTAGCAGAGAGCTACCAAACTTGGGATATGTACACACTTTAGATAGACATAGCCAAACAAAGACACAGCCCTCATAAAGTTTGCATCGTGATGATAAGAACCTGGCACATTTTCAGTGGAGCCAAAACAGAAAATCATGCAGATTTACTGTGTTTGGTCCCATTGAAAATGTTCCAGTGTTCTGTGGCACGCCTGATCCCTGGGGCATAATGTGTAATCAGCTGGTTGTCTGACACATCACAGTGGATCATTGTGTGTGCAGTCAAAGACTGAATATTGACAGCCTGCCATTATGTTGCTGCAATGTTAATGACTGGGGTATGCTCACTCAATCACTCCTGGATAAATAAGGTTAGATTTAGAACTTTGATAAATAAGTAAGTACATTTTGACCAGTTAAATTCAACAAACAACTGTCAATGCCAGTTGTCCTTGTAAGACCTTTCATTTGTGGGTGTTGGTTTATGAGACTGACAACATGAAAAAATGAAATTAGAACAATAATAAAGTGACTTTTGACAATTTGTTTCTCGGTTGAAAAAAACCCAATAGATCGCATCACCCATGTTCGTAAGAAATAGTGCATAATATGTATAAAAATGTTTATTCTTAAAGAAACCAAAAACCAATCAACTGTTTTTGGTATTGTTTTGCAATCTTACTTCAGATATGGTAGGACATTCAAGTTTGTTTTTCATTTATTAGTAGCACTACTAATCTGGAAGTTGAATTTTTTACAAATTTAGGCCAGATTTTTTGTAAACCAATGAATAAAAAATAAAAGGCCTTAGGTTACTGCTGTTTTACCATGCATGACAGTGATTAACAGTGAGAACCAACTTAGAATGAAAACACCTTTTATGTGAAGAATTATCTTAGGGCTTCAAGGTATTATGGATGAACTGTCCTGAGTGGAGTAATTGAGCCTATGGAAAGGAACGTTTTACATTAATTCAAGGGTCAAATAATCCCTAATTCTGAATTGCGAGTAAGTTATTCTGCATATTACAGTCTTTTTTCTTGGGAACAGCAGGAAAATGATGGTTTCCTGCTCTCAAGTTTAAACATCAGATCAGTTGCTTCATGGTTGGAATCGTGAAATCATTTATTACCCACAGAGTTAGAAATAACCGAGGTCATAAAAATCGTATGTGCAATAGTGCAAATATAACTTCTCGTGTACCTGTGCATTGTGTCCGTCATCCGGACTGCATTGTTGATGTCATTCAAATCTCATTGTGACATAACGTCAGAATGACGTCACACTAGAAACGACGTCATGGCTGAAAATTGATGACGTCATTCGAAAAAATGTGTTTTTCTAGGACAACGGTGGTAATCAATGCATTTTCTAAAGGGGAACTCAAAAGGATTAAGTAATAATGGGTAATACATAAATTATTACACTTACATATGTGTCATACTGATATTAAGAAACTCGTGTATGAATTCATGTATTAAACTCGTTCTCGCTCGGTAAAATCAGTATGACACACATGCTTGTACAATAATCACTATTTTTGACATCACAAACAATAGATCGCATCATTCAGTTATTTGCAACATTGTGTTCATGTGACATGTTGTTATTGGCCTCTTTACCAACAATGAAAACAATGGTACAATTCATTGGAATGAGGTGAGGTGAGGTGAGGTGAGGTGAGGTGAAATTGGGTTTAACGTCGCGTCCAAGATTATTGCTCTTATATAGCGACGTGCATGTACGTGTGTGTGTTTGTGTGGCTGCTTGTACTAGTCCGGACTGATGCCAATTTATAGTGCTAGCTCACTGAGATACCATGCCACAGTTTAACATGAATACCCTACTCAGACACAGTATACTGACTCCGAGCCGACCAGTCCTTGTTTTAGCCCCTTAATGCCGAGCGCCAGACAGGGTAACAACAAGTACCATCTTTTAACGTCTTTTGGTATGACGCGGCCAGGGATAGAACCCTGGACCTTCCGCTCTCCTGGCGGACGCTCTACCACTAGACCACAGAGGCGGTTTCATTGGAATGTACTAGCCATCAGCAGGAAGCGGACATTATACTGCCTAGTGAGAATTACTGAAAATAATTTCACCTATATAACTGCTTCTATTGGTCATACATATTCATATCTTCCAGCATCAAGACCTGCCCCATCCTGACCCTACCAGTCTCGTGGTGATGTCGCCACCTGGTGGACACCCCATGAGACCGCCTCACCGTCTGCCAGACCCCGTAATCAGGGGTCAGAAAGGGTAAGTCATGATACATGTCAACACAATGTACACACTCCATGAGACCGCCCCACCCCTGCCAGACCCAGTCGTGAAGGGTCAGAAAGGGTAAGTTATGATACATGTCGACACAATGTACACACCCTATGAAACCAACCCACCCCTACCAGACCCAGTTATGAGGGGTCAGAAAGGGTAAGCCATGATATACATGTTGACACAATGTACACTCCCCATGAGACAACCCCATCTCTGCCAGACCCAGTTATGAGGGGACAGAAAGGGTAAGCCATGATATACATGTTGACACAATGTACATTCCCCATGAGACCACCCCATCTCTGCCAGACCCAGTTATGAGGGGTCAGAAAGGGTAAGTCATGATATACATGTCGACACAATGTACACTCCCCATGAGACCACCCCATCTCTGCCAGACCCAGTTATGAGGGGACAGAAAGGGTAAGTCATGATACATGTCAACACAATGTACACTCCCCATGAGACCGACCCACCCCTGCCAGACCCAGTTATGAGGGGTCAGAAAGGGTAAGTCATGATATACATGTCGACACAATATACACACTCCATGAGACCGCCCCACCTCTGCCAGACCCAGTTATGAGGGGTCAGAAAGGGTAAGTCATGATATACATGTCGACACAATGTACACACCTCATGAGACCGACCCACCCCTGCCAGACCCAGTTATGAGGGGTCAGAAAGGGTAAGTCATGATATACATGTCGACACAATGTACACACTCCCTGACACCGCCCCACTCCTGCCAGACCCAGTTATGAGGGGTCAGAAAGGGTAAGTCATGATATACATGTCGACACAATATACACACTCCATGAGACCGCCCCACCTCTGCCAGACCCAGTTATGAGGGGTCAGAAAGGGTAAGTCATGATATACATGTCGACACAATGTACACACCTCATGAGACCGACCCACCCCTGCCAGACCCAGTCGTGAAGGGTCAGAAAGGGTAAGTCATGATATACATGTCGACACAATGTAACCACCCTATGAGACCGCCAGACCCCGTAATGAGGGGACAGAAAGGGTAAGTCATGATATACATGTCGGCACAATGTACACACCCTATGAAATCGACCCACCCCTACCAGACCCAGTCGTGAAGGGTCAGAAAGGGTAAGTCATGATATACATGTCGGCACGATGTACACACCCTATGAAATCGACCCACCCCTACCAGACCCAGTCATGAGGGGACAGAAAGGGTTAGTCATGATACATGTCGACACAATGTACACACCCCATGAGACGGCCCCACCTCTGCCAGACCACGTAATGAGGGGTCAGAAAGGGTAAGTCATGATATATCCATGTAGTAGGATGGGCGTATTCATCTTCATGGTTGTAAAAAATATTCTTCAGATGTGAGTGTGTAGGCTAAATACTTTGTATGATAATGATAAAAATCAATGATAACAGAAAAATATCATACCCAGTTCAAATACTATCCTGCATTGTTACACTTACAAAGAACTGTTTTTCCACATATTTTAAGATTGCCCCATGTGCTTAAATGACAGTACCTAATAAGGTAACTATGGTTACAGAATGCCGGAATCCATGCAGAATGGAGGCCACATGATGCAGCCTCATGGCCGGATGAATGGACCAGTACGACAAGGTAATGAGTCTAGAGGAGAGTAGAACTTCACCAACATACAACAACCACAAGAACACAAATTAAAGAACTAAATTAAATTACAGAAATTAATAACTTTTTTTTTCAGATATTGTTCTTTTTGGGTTAATATGGTCTAAATTGACCTTATTTTTTAGCTTATGTTGCGGCACATAGTCCAACGTCAATCTGTTTGTAGTTAAAGCTATTTTCAACACCTCCTCTGTAACTGCAAGGCAGATGAAAATGAAACATTGCATGGATGATCCCAGCCATAGTGTTTTACATTAATTCTGATAAAAACTGATCCAATCTTTTTTTAAATTGGCTACCACTGCAACCCTGTTCTATATGTCATTTTTGTCCATATTGGCCATTTTTGAATGTATTATTATGAAATTTAGTTTGCAGCAAAACTTATGTGGTATGCAGAATAAAACTAAATATGTTTAATTCCACTTTCTTTTTTTTGTCCCAGTTTCTCTCTTGACCTATACATACCTGCGCCATGTTTCACACTGTAGAATAATAGCAGTATGACTGTCTGGAGTCTTACTTGTAACACTAGAACTTTGTGAAACGGGCCCTGTTTATTAAGTTTTAATACATTTTTGACATCTCCTCTTAAACTTTGGTATTATGAAGCAGAAGATTTGTGTACATGATCTGGTTCCAGCAATGTGATCGCTAAGATCTGCTCACAATTCTGATCCAACTTGAAGCATGGCCACCACATTGAAAATGTCATGTTTGTTGTTCAGCCATTTCTGCATGTATCCTTCGCTCCTTATTTAGATGCAGTTCATCGTGTGGCCAATAGACATGGTATATTTGGCTGTTTATTGTGATAGTTAGTACATCTTTATGTGGCTGCCGATGGAACCATGGACCACTGCATGACCTGGAACCTGTTCCACAAAGCGATCTTAGTGCTAAGTTGGTCGTAACTCCCATACCAATCTCATTAAAATCAGATCTTAGTTCTCGCTATGCTAAACAAAGATCTGAGGACATCCCATTGAGGGTCACGTCAGAACGACCTTTCATCCAACCAATCAGAGCGTCGCTTACCAGATCATGGAAGTGACAGTTGGAATGTGTTTTCTAATCATGCAACCATGAAATATTTTACACGGGGTATTCCGAACGACAGTTACTGGTTTTATGATTATATCCATACAATCTAGGCCATCTATAAGCCATTCCAGAATGTTCTTCTTAATCAGTTTTATATTTTTAATGGAGAATACGTCAAAATATGTTTCGAAGCGTATTCGCCAGTTTGAAACTAGTGCCATAAAGCTCGAGAAAGCTGCCTTCTGATTGGCTACTGTCGATTTCTTGTCAGTCATTTCATTGGTTAGTCAAAATTTGCGAAAGGTCGTTCTGACGTGACCCCTAATGAGATGTCCTCAGATCTTTGTTGAGCGGTAACGAAAACTAAGATCTGATTTTAAGGAGATTGCTCCCATACTGTAACATAGGCTTACAATAGTTGTAGCGTAGATCGGTTAGTGCAAGTGGGACCAGGTCTCCGTGTCTGATTGTATAATTTCGAAGAATATATGTGAAGATGTCTTTTGCATATTCTTTTTTGCCCTTGTATAAACTTTCTTATGTAATATGATATTCCAGACAAAGTAAGGTGAGCTACAGTGCCTTTTAGCTCTCAGTTTTCTCTTAAAGTAGATCATGATTTGTTTTGAGGTAAATATTTGGAAAAACATTTTTTGCTAATGATACATAATTATTGTTCATATGTTACTTTTTTTAACTGACAACAAAGTTTTTGCTCCCCAAATTTCTTGCTAGCCATTTGGCGAGGTGAGCTATTCAGTATATTAATAGTCACCTCTTCCTGATCCTGAAACCCCACCCCATATTTTGACATTTCTTAGAAATTGAGGAGTACGTTCAGAATAGAGTAAGCTGAGGTGACAGAATAGTATATTGTTCTACTCTTGGGCCTTTTACGATGTGCCCTTATAAAGGTTTGCTCATGGTAAGAACACACTGTAAGACACATGGCAGAAAGTGTACAGTGTACCTTCAGGTACACAATGGAGGCAGTGTAAGGGACAAATGTATCCATCAGTATCAGATTTACCAGATAATAATAAGCCCATCACAAATAAGTCAGTTCAGGATTACTATCATGTCATGCCAATGAAATTGAGCTGTCAAACATAACGTCAGATGAAAAGGCAAGATGCTGATGTGTTTTATCTTCACACGATTTTTTTCAAAATTTAGATCAGTTCCTTAAATATATTTAAATCTTACAGTCATCTTGCTAGTACTTTGATAATTTGGTTGCTAAGTGACATTTTGTTTAATGTGAACACTGTAGACCTACACTGTAGTCAACTCGTGGTGCATCTTCCCGAGGCAAGTGAGTTAACTGACTATAAAAGTCCAGTTTCCACCCTTGCCGAACTAGGCTGGTATTATGGAGTTACACTTAGGCTTAGAAGGGACATAACTCGTAATAGCCACTGGTGGCGCTACGATTGAGCCCAGGAATTCCAGCCTAGTTCGGCAAGGGTGGAAACTTGACCTTTAAAGTCAGTTAACTCTCTTGCCTCGGGAAGATGCTCGTGGTGTCGGTAGAGGAGGACTCCCCATCCTTCAGCAGGTGCTTGTTCTGGCTGCAGACTGCTGACTGGAGCTTATACCAAGCATGCTAAAATCAGGGAGGAGATTTTTTTATCTGCTGATCTGCTGAATGCTATTGATTTGTTTCGTCAAGGGTCACTTTGTGACACTGCCATTACAATGTAGACATATGTTTAGTCCCCCAGACCCTGGGTAACTTTCAATGTTTTTTTTAAAAAAAAACCTGATCTAATTCCTGATCAGTGTTCATGGTATTAGTACCTGGTCATTGAATTACAAGCATTTATTGATTAGTTTTACCGATTGGTTTTACTGATTAGTTTTACTGATAAGTTTTACTGATTGGTTTTACTGATTAGTTGTATCCACTTTGTTTGCAGACACAGAGCGTAGGTAATGATCGTTTTCTGATTTGATTTTCTTGCATGTAGATGTTAGGTGTATGTGACAGGCTGCAGGACTAACTTCCCTACCTCCCCAGCTGACGGCGTAGAGAGAGCAGCTCACTGACCCTCTGGTCGTGTCAATTCATAAAAAAGATCTAGAACTGAGATTGTAATTTCAATTTTTAGCTTGAGTACTAATACCTTTCTACTTTGATATAGAAGTGACCTTGTGATAGCTTCCTGTGTTAATCAGTTGTTTGGAAGACAGTATGTGGCATCTTTTCAAACGTTCACTGAGCTGAGTTGGTGGGTGGTCGGGTTTAAAATCTATGTATTTTCTCTGTGTGCAACACCTATTTTGTGCCAGTGATTTATCATTATGTTCCCCAATACCTTGAAAATTTGGCAGTGACTATTTCAAATACAGACCCATTGTTACACTTTTGGAGTTTTTGGTCTTCAAAATTTGCCCCGAAGAATACGCTTTGATGTTTGGTATAGATCCTTATACCATTGTCAAGCAAGGCATATCTGGTCATATGTTTTTTGGATAAAACAGCTTATCCTCCCCACTCAAGGTTAAACAATTAAATGAGGGGTCAGTCATCTTAGGTGCCACAATTCACCGTGGAGAGTTGTATTGCTTAGCCGTGCCAGATACCTTTAATTGTGATTAGAATCCCAGTTAGCCCTGATAATGTAGCTAGGTTCATCGGCACCATACCCGTGCTCATGGGTTTCACCGAAGTGGTAAACGCCTGAGACCTGCATCACTTTGGGCTTTCCTCCCACAGTAACTGACACGCCACGATATAACTGGAATAAGGTTGGAAGCAATTTAGACCAAACTCACTCACTAATCAAATATATAAATAAATAAGGTGAGCTCCAGTGCCTGGGGTATTCAGCTTCATTGAACTTTTGACAAGATGCCTAGAAAGGGTAGATGAGATCTAGGCTAGGAGTAGATAGGTACTGACATATAAAATGAATGAGCTAGTTAATAGGTCATGACCTACAAACTTTGAAATCAGTTGAAGGTGTCCTACATGCATGACATCTGTCTCATGAATCAATTCTTCATCCCACCACCTTGTTGCATGTTTCCAGTTGTTGTACATTTTTTCACTTCACTATTATATTTTTTTCACTACACTTTTATTTTTTATTTTATTTTTTTCCACTGCAGTCCTGTTTGACCAAATTATAAAATAAACTTTCGAAGACTGGTAGAAAAGTAGAGTTTATTGTGGGTAGACCGTCTCCTGATTCAGTTCACCCTCACATATTCACCTTTCAGCTTCACCACCCAGAGCTACCGAGAGGAGGTCTTCTCAGGCGTCGCAGTCAGGTAAGAGTGGTCTCCCCTTGAAGCAGCTTTGCCAGCAATATCCCGTTCGCGGAGCTCTCTATACTATTGCTGCCACCAGTGAAAGCTCCCCTCTGTGATAGGTAGCTACAACCATGCTACAACCGACTGACCATTATATTTTAAAAAGGTGATGACTGCCGTGATGACGAATACTCATACCTCAGCTAAATTATTATTATATAGCGGGGGATATAGAAACGGGCTCTGTCCGTCTGTCCATCCGTCACGTTTCGTTTCTGGAGCATAACTCATAAACCGTTCAATATATTTTTTCATCAAACTTTGCAGGTCTCTCAGGTACATGCTGAACTGGTGCCTTTTGCTATTTAGAAATTTTAGAAATTTTTAAAAAGATGGACTTAGGTTCTGTGAGGGTAGGATTCGTTTCCGGAGCATAACTCATAAACCGTTTAATATTTTTTCATGAAACTTTGCAGGTCTGTCAGGTACATGCTGAACTTGTGCCTTTTGCTATTTAGAAATTCTAGAAATTTTTATTTTTTACATTTCCATGGCAACAAGATGGACTTAGGTTCTGTGAGGGTAGGGTTCGTTTCCGGAGCATAACTCATAAATTGTTCAATATTTTTTCATGAAACTTTGCAGGTCTATTAGGTACATGCTGAACTTGTGCCTTTTGCTTTTTAGAAATTTTTATTTTTTACGTTTCCATGGCAACAAGATGGACTTAGGTTCTGTGAGGGTAGGATTCGTCTCCAGAGCATAACTCATAAACCGTTCAATATATTTTTTCATGAAACATTGCAGGTTTGTCAGGTTCATGCTGAACTGGCGCCTATTGCTATTTAGAAATTTTAGAAATTTTTATTTTTTACATTTCCATGGCAACAAGATGGACTTAGGTTCTGTGAGGATAGGATTCGTTTCCGGAGCATAACTCATAAACCTTTCAAAATTCTTTCATGAAACTTTGCAGGTCTGTCAGGTACATGCTGAACTGGTGCCTTTTGCTATTTAGAAAATTTAGAAATATTTATTTTTTACGTTTCCATGGCAACAAGATGGACTTTTAGAAATTAATGAATTCTTCTTTCAAATTCCCCAAAAATGTATTTGTTTGTGTGATCAAATTTCACTATTGTTGACATAATATACACTTCATTTGCTGGGCAGGAGACTTGGCCATGTTAGTGGCAATCTCCTCTTTTTTTTACAATTTCCATGACAACAAGTTCCACCTCGGTTAAAAAAGGTTAGGGTTTGTTTAGATTTAATTAGGTCATAAATTCTGAAACAGGGGCTGGGGATACAGCCACGTTAGTGGCAAACTCTTGTGTGTTTTTTAAATTTCTATTTCTTTACAACTGTCATGTAATTGGTATAGTAAGAATGTAAGGGAAAAGTTGATTTCTCCATTCGTTTGCAATCTCGAAGCATTCAGATCAAACAAACAAAAAGGTAAATTCATCTTGGAAATATGGTCTGAGTCAGTCGTGAACCTTTTCAAAATTTACTGTGATGGCATTCCAAAAGACGTAAACAAAAGTATAATGTTTCTACATTTGGGATTAGAGGGCACGTTTGAAGATTCTTGTAAAGGCCGCGCTGACACCGGTGGCAGCGATGTTACCGAGAGTGTAATGAAGGTGTCACACGCTGGGAAGGAGCTTTGAGCTTTGCAAGCTTCAGAGTTGACAGGGCCATTGTGTGCGATAACAATGATTATGGTTTTATGCCGCTCTTAGCAATATTCCAGCCATATCATGTCAAGGATGGGTTTCATTGTTCCAACAATGGGAATAGAACCGTGGCGTAGGGTGTAATGAGCAAATGCTTTTATCACAAAGCTACCCCATTGCCCATGCAATACAAAAATGTATGTTACAAGTGACTCTTCCAAAGAACTATCCCCAAGCAGTGGCCCGAGAAGATTCCGGGGGAGAATAGGTCTTCAGGAACCCAATTGGGATCGATGACAAGCATCAGCCAAGTCAGCGAGCATGACCACCCGATCCCGTTAGTCGCCTTTTACGACAAGCAATGTCACCTTTTACGGCAAGCATGGATTGCTGAAGACCTATTCTACCCCGGATCTTCACGGGCCCTCAGACTGACTGAATTTCTGTGGTGTAAAATAAATATGGCAATGGTTTGAACTAGAGCTGAGTATCGACTGGTATCTTGCGATATGATTGGTATCATGGTACGGACTGACGATACTACTGGCATCATGATACACTACATCAAATAGTAAGAAATCATCACATAACTCAAATACAGCTCTAAAACCTTTTTCTTCATACTTTTTTGTTATTGGTGTCTCAAAAACTTTATCAAAGAAAACCACAAGAACAAAACAGTTTTAAATAAAGGGATGGTTGTTAAATGTAACAGTTAGTAGTACAATGACCTCAGCTGCTACAACCTTGTGTTCTGCCATGCTTACAGATGGCGCTGTGCTACTTCTGCCATTATGGGAAGTAACTCTTTTAGTTCCTGTTCTATTTATAGTGTATCGCGATCTCACAAACTGATGATTCAAGTATCTTGTGAACCTAAGTATCGATGGTATCATAGATATCAGTGTTTGATAGAGTTTGAACCCTGAGACTCCAAGCTGAGATTTGACACCGTGTTACAGAGCACAATTTTTAGTTGTTTGTAATGTTGCACTCCATCTTGTTTGTGTTGTGAGACGTCTCTGCCTCCCGTGTGTGTCATGCATTGTTTGTCATTCTGTCATGTCAAAATATAAGGGTCGGAAGATAAATGATCGTATCGTATTATAAATACATTGTTTCTGTTTTCCATATATATATTGTAATATTCCTCAGCAACATAAATACAGCGATACTTTTGTGCTACATATACTATACACTACATAAATACAGTGATACTTTTGTGCTCCATATACCATACACAACATAAATACAGTGATACTTTTGTGCTACATATACCATACCCTACATAAATACAGTGATACTTTTGTGCTACATATACCATACACTACATAAATACAGTGATACTTTTGTGCTACATATACCATACACTACATAAATACAGTGATACTTTTGTGCTACATATACCCTACCCTACATAAATGCAGTGATACTTTTGTGTTACATATACCATACACAACATAAATATAGTGATACTTTTGTGTTACATATACTATACCCTACATAAATACAATGATTATATACTTTTGTGCTACATATACCATACCCTACATAAATACAGTGATACTTTTGTGTTACATATACTATACCCTACATAAATACAGTGATACTATTGTGTTGCATATACCATACACTACATAAATACAGTGATACTTTTGTGCTACATATACCATACGCTATATAAATACAGTGATACTTTTGTGTCCCAGATGACATATACTACATAAATATTGTTACATTTGTGTTACAGATGCTCTCATCTACATAAATATTGCCAATTGCGTGGATCAATGCTCATGAAGTCAATCACTGGATTGTCTGGTCCAGACTCGATTATTTTACAGACCGCCGTCATATAGCAGGAATATTGCCCAGTGCGACGTTAAACAACAAACCAAAACATAAATATTGTTACATTTGTGTTACAGACACCCACATCCACATAAATATTGTTACATTTGTGTTACAGACACCCACATCCACATAAATATTGTTACATTTGTGTTACAGACACCCACATCCACATAAGTATTGTTACATTTGTGTTACAGACACCCACATCCACATAAGTATTGTTACATTTGTGTTACAGACACCATAATCTACATAAATATTGTTATGTTTGTGTTTCAGACGCCATCCGCGACATGAATGAGAAGCTACTTCTGGAGGTGCGAGAGCTAGAGGGCGAGATCGAGCAGCAACATCGACTAGCCACCAGGTCACATGACTTGTCACAACGACCTCGGTCAGACCTCCCACATAAACAGTATCCAGGGTCATCCACGATTAGGTGACCACAATGTTTCCATAGCAACGCTCAAACAGATCTGTGATAGTAGCATTAAGTAAAAGGTTCCTTTGACAATAATGAAATGTGTTGGATGCCATTATGGAATCGCTCATCGTGGGAATACCTGCTCTGATAGTGCATCTTGAGCAGACATTGTGTCATGTCTCTTGTCAGAGTTTATTTCCAAAAACAAAGTATGGGAGATGGTTTGAAATAGAAACACACCAAGAAGAAACAAACTATGGATCCTCATTTAAATAACAAGTGTGTCCTTCAGTTATTTATTACCTCCCTTTGTACAAACCGTTGGGAGTTTTTCTTTCTTGGTGGCCCTGATCTGTGACCTTGGTGTTTTTTCCCAGGAGATGTCACACAAGATCTCAACAATCTGTGTTTAATGTTTGTGTGTTTCATGTCGGAGTGACGCACTATTACATAAGCTATCATCTATGCAGCCAAATTCACCAAATCTCTTCCAGTTTCAAGGTGGTGTTCACCGTTATGATCATACACAAGCCCTGTTTGCTCAACTGGTCAAACTGTGACGTGTCTTGTCGAAGCGAGATCATTGAATTAAGATATAGTGACTGTGCAGAATGTATTCCAGTGATCCAAAATCGATGGACATTGTTCTGACTGGAGGATTCTCGAGAAGCATGGAAGAATGAATTCCTGGGCATGTAGTGTGTGTATTGGAATGTCGTGATGATACCACATCTGTGATGATGCCAAGATTTCGCCCCAGACAGACAGGTGAAACAGACGGGTAGCTATTTAAGTGGTTTCAGGACTGAGTTGTTGATAATTCCTGATAATCTGCCGGGTAAAAGACATTATACACTATGTTTGATGGTGGCTAAAAATGAAACAAACAAGAAATGGTTTTTCAATAGTGATGTATTTGATACGGGTACCAAAGTAATGTTTGGGCCTTAAGTCTGGCATGTTTTGGCGACTGTGAAGCTTGTAATGTTTTGATAATATTTGTAATCATTTGGTCAAATCCAATTTGAAGTGTATACTTTCTTTTTCCCAGCAGTTTATATGTGCAGTGGAGCAATGTGGTGATAGGACACACATTGTCCTGTCAACAGTGACCCTTGTGAGTAGCTCTGTCCCTATGGGCCCAGTTGAGACTCTGCAGGAAGTCTGGAGAGCAGGGTTATGCCAAAGTATATTCGTGTTGTGTTGTTTTGTACAAACATACTTCCTTATTAGTCAATAGTTTTGTTTTGGCTGTGTTTTTTTGAAGTCTCAATTTGTTTTCAAAGCTCATTCTTACGCAATTCTTAAGCATTCCTAAGCACCCATCCATTGTAATATCCCAAGCCTGAAATAGTTCAGACTTCCCTGATCTCAACCCAGTGTGAAGTCCATGTTTGCTCAGTTGTTATGATGCATATCTCAAACCATGCTCTGAAATCTCAATTAATCCTAAAGTTTCAAATCCCAACTTATTCTGAACTTCTAAAGACCCAAATCTCATTTCAGTCAAAAATCCACTATCTCAAATGGTTCTTAAAACCCAAATCTCAATTCAGTCAAAAGCTTGTCATGATATGGCTGAAATATTGCAGATGTGACGTAAAGCATAAACTCACTCACTCACTCACTCATTCAAAAGCTGTTATAATGATATCCCACTTATTAAACCATCTCTACCCTTTATGAAACCTATATCCTTTAAGATGTATTTCTCCCCCTCTAATTATGTATTTCTCACCAGGGATTTTAAGTGCTTCTCTACCAGTAAGCAAGTTTTTCTCTGCCTTTCATGAAGTTCTTCTCCAACCTTTATGAAGTTATTCTCCAGCCTCCATGAAGTTCTTCTCCGCTCTCCATGAAGTTCTTCTCTGCCCTTCCTGAAGTTCTTCTCCCCATTTCTTGAAGATCTTCTCCCCTTCGTGAAGTTCTTCTCTGCCCTTCATGATGTTCTTCTCTGACCTCCATGAAGTTCTTCTCTGACCTCCATGAAGTTCTTCTCTGCCCTCCATGAAGTTCTTCTCTGCCCTCCATGAAGTTCTTCTCTGACCTCCATGAAGTTCTTCTCTGCCCTTCATGAAGTTCTTCTCTGCCCTTCATGAAGTTCTTCTCCACCCTTTTGTGAAGTTCTTCTCTGCCCTTCATGAAGTTCTTCTCCACCCTTCGTGAAGTTCTTCTCCACCTTTCGTGAAATTCTTCTCCACCCTTCGTCAAGTTCTTCTCTGCCCTCCATGAAGTTCTTCTCTGCCCTACATGAAGTTCTTCTCCACCCTTTGTGAAATTCTTCTCCACCCTTCGTGAAGTTCCCCACCTTCATGAAGTTCTTCTCGACCCTTTCTCAAATCCTTCTCTGCCGTTACGAAGTTATTCTTTCTGAAGTCCCATACGCCCTGCCCAGTAAGAAGTCTAACATCAGATGACCCTAATGAGAACTTCTTCAGCTTAACCCCAGAACCCACTATATTTCTTGGACCCCGTTGTGTAAGCCTAATCATCTACCTGGAGACACCCTGTGCTATACATCAACATAGGATGTCGCGTGACAACAACAAACACGAACGATGACGGCTCTAACAGGAACATCAGGACTGCCGAGAGCTCCAGCGATGCAGTTCCTTCCTTAATTCATGTTTCTCCCCCAGTATGTTATTTTCATCACATAACTGTCTGTTTTAAAATACAATGTTACATTTCTAGTTTCTTGGTAGAGAGGAAAATTCAATAAAATTACGTAAGCTCTAGCTTTGATTAGAAACGGGATATAGATGGTCATACCGGACAGAAGGATTTTTGTGATGGAGGAAGATGTAGGATAGAGTGCAGATGGATCAGATTCGTCACCATGAGCCTACAAGGGACGACATCTGCCCACCATGAAATTAAGATGTCCTATTTGTCATATACACAAACATTGTGCATATTTAAATATTCTCTACTGGACTTCTCCCAAGAAAAGTTTATATCAATTCATGGTACATGTCATGTTTTCAGACTGGTGTTAACACAGAAAACATGACATGTACCACAGACTATGTGCCATTTCATTCCAGTAAAACCATACAATATATTACCGTCCATTTAGGATTTATTTATCCATTGGTGCCTTCCATTTAGAATATTTAGAACATGTGGGTCGCGTCCACAAAAAGCGTATAGTCTGTACACCCTCGTGACACCGTATTCAAAGTATTTTACTATTAACAGCCATTATTTATTAAGGCATATTTCCCTCAAGATAGTGAATATCTCCCTCTTCATAGGTGTAACCCTATTGATTCTGTCCATTCGGGTATATTCCGTACATTTTACCAATATCTGCCGTCCTTTCAGAGCATATTTTCTTCTCAGTACATATTACCCTATTGCGCCGTCCATTCAGAATATTTCCCTCTTAGTCCCTGCAACCCTATTTTGACGCCGTCCGTTCAGAATATCTCCCTCTTAGTACATGTTACCCGATGGATAAGGTCCATTCAGATTATTTCCCTCTTAGTACGTTGCCCTATTGATACGGTCCATTCAGAATATTTCCCTCTTAGTACATGTTGCCCTATTGATACCGTCTATTCAGAATATTTCCCTCTTAGTACATGTTGCCGCATTGGTACCGTCCATTCAGAATATTTCCCTCTTAGTACATGTTACCCTATTGATACCGTCCATTCAGAATATTTCCCTCTTAGCAAATGTTACCCTATTGATTCTGTCCATTCAGAATATTTCCCTCTTAGTACTTGTTACCCTATTGACGCCGTCCGTTCAGAATATTTCCCTCTTAGCAAATGTTACCCTATTGATTCCGTCCATTCAGCATATTTCCCTCTTAGTCCCGGCTACCATATTTTGACGCTGTCCGTTTAGAATATTTCTCTCTTAGTACATGTTGCCCCTATTGATACCGTCTATTCAGAATATTTCCCTCTTAGTACATGTTACCCTATTGATTCCGTCCATTCAGAATATCTCCCTCTTAGTACATGTTACCCTATGGATAAGGTCCATTCAGCATATTACCCTCTTAGTACATGTTACCCTGTTGATACGGTCCATTCAGCATATTTCCCTCTTAGTACATGTTACCCTGTTGATACCATCCATTCAGAATATTTCCCTCTTAGTACATGTTACCCTGTTGATACGGTCCATTCAGAATATTCCCTCTTAGTACATGTTACCCTGTTGATACCATCCATTCAGAATATTTCCCTCTTAGTACATGTTACCCAATGGATAAGGTCCATTCAGAATATTTCCCTTAGTCCCTGCTACCTATTGATGCCGTCCATTCAGAATATTTACCTCTTAGTACATGTTACCCTGATGATACCGTCCGTTCAGAATATCTCCCTCTTAGTACATGTTACCCTGATGATACCGTCCGTTCAGAATATTTCCCTCTTAGTACATGTTACCCTGATGATACCGTCCATTCAGAATATTTCCCTCTTAGTACCTGTTGCCCTATTGATACCATCCATTCAGAGCATATTTCCCTCTGAGTGTCACTTGGTAAAGCTTCTATCCCAAGGAGGCGTTTATTTGGATTACAATAGCGTGTGACAATTGCGCTCTGAATTTATGTCCACACTAAAGACGTCCATTTAAAGCACATGTCATTGTTGGTGACGTCCCTTTAAAATATATATCACCATAAAGGCCACCTATTTTGCGTAAATTTCCCCATTGTCGCGGTTATGAACGTCGTGTTCAAACGCACAAGCCTACTTTCATTGCATGTGGTGAGGCAGCGGTATGTTGTCTACAGGGTACCGTTGCACAAAACAACAACCTCAGCTCTACGACTGTCGTAAGTCTGTGTTAAGGTATGTGAGTTACGATCACCTTAGCGCTAAGACTGCTTTGTGCAACGGCACCCTGGGTGTATTACTGTACATAAAAAGGTGGACGTGTTGTGCTCGTGGGGCGCTAGACCTGGATGTCATGAGAATATGTTGTGTACTGAAATATAAAGACGTATGAAATTTTGCCTGTACTGTTTTTACTTTAACATCGACCAGTTGATACTTGGTAATACGGCCAAGTTGATACTTGGTAATACGGCCCAGTTGATACTTGGAAATACGGCCCAGTTGATACTTGGAAATACGGCCCAGTTGATACTTGGTAATACGGCCCAGTTGATACTTGGTAATACGGCCAAGTTGATACTTGGTAATACGGCCCAGTTGATACTTGGAAATACGGCCCAGTTGATACTTGGAAATACGGCCCAGTTAATACTTGGTAATACGGCCCAGTTGATACTTGGTAATACGGCCCAGTTGATACTTGGTAATTTCGCCCAGTTGATACTTGGAAATACGGCCCAGTTAATACTTGGTAATACGGCCCAGTTGATACTTGGTAATACGGCCCAGTTGATACTTGGTAATTTCGCCCAGTAGATGACAGAAACTGAATTGTGATAATACTGTTATCCGTGTCCTCAAGAACAATGGGTGAGTGACTATTGTTTTATGCCACCTTTAGCAATATCACGGCGGGGGACACCAGAAATGGGCTTCACACATTGTACCCATGTGGGAATCGAACCCTGGTCTTCGGCGTAGCGAGCGAACGCTTTAACCACCAGACTACCCCACCGCCCCAAACAAAGATTCGGTAGATAGTGAACACGCATTGCCGAATATTTCACTTTGCGAGACTTCCCATAGCGTCATTTATATCTTCGGTAAGTCGGGGGAGACTGGGTTTCATAGGAGTGAGTTGGGGTTTGCGACTCTGTGAACAGTATTACAGCAATATCACAGGGTGTCAGCATGTGTACCCGATATGTTATATTCATAATTAAAAACGATAGATGGAGTGGGTGGGAGGGATTTAGGGAGAGGGTGTTTTTTTCGCCGCGCATAGCAATATCACAAAGGGGATCACCCCAGAAATGGGCTAAATACTTTGTATCAATGTGGGGAATTGAACCTTGGCCTTCTGCGTGACAAGCGAACGCTTTGAACACTAGGCTACCCCACCGCACCGTACAATACTAGAGGATGATTTCTACCAAATATTATTTTATATTATTGAAATCTTGTCTTGGTAAGTTATTCGAGCGCATATATTTTCCAGAGAATGCACAACTATTTCCTACAGCATACATTATTATGCAAATACCTGTCAGGATTAATGTCGTGACATTGAACTGCTTACCAACTGATAGATATCTACTATAACACGTGCATTGCTACCACTAATTATATCTGACACTACTAGATACAAGTTACGTGACAAATCAGATATCACCGCTCCCATTGGTATAACAACCACGTTTCAGACATACTCTGAATATATGGAAAAATGTATAACTACAAATATCAGAAACAGGCCATAGTTGTATATGTTTATTATATATAGAACGTCAACGTCAGGGAATAACCAGTCTCGATTATCCGAACGGCAAAATAGGGTGAAAATTGTATGAATGGATCACTGAAAATCAAGTTATGACACCAGGTGTTTGCAAGGGTAAGCATGTCCTGTCCTACCAGTACATTACCACCCATGTGGTATCTGCACCAGAATATTATAACTATAGCAGAAGTGAGTGAGTGAGTATGGTTTTGCACCGCTTTTAGCAATGTTCCAGCAAAATCAAGCCCAGAAATGGGCTTCACACATTGTACCCACGACAGGAATCGAACCCGGGTCTTCGGCGTGACGAGCGAACACTTTAACAACTAGGCGACCCTCTGAAGCAGAAGAGTAGTAACGTTGTGCATATGGGAATATGAGATTGTATGTAACGATCATCTGTTCAGTAAGTGTTCATGCTTATTTCTTATCAGCAACCCATGCTTGAGGCGACAAACGGGATCGGGTGGTAAGGCTCATGGACTTGGTTGATGCATGTCATCATATGTCGATGCTCATGATGTCGATCACTGGATTGTCTGGTCCAGTCTCGATTATTTACAGACCGCCGTCCTAAAGCTGGAATACTGATGAGTGCGGCGTTAAACAACAAACAAATCCTATAGAAAACAGTTGCCATTATCTTCTTGAGTGCGCAATACTAAACTGAGGAGAAAAAGAAACTATACCGCTCAGCTGATTTTATCATATATTTGATTTTCTATTGAAATATATCTTATGTTAACGATATTCTATCCAAAACATGAACTGTACTCAGCAATCAAAGAATATATTTACTTTGCATTTTTTCAAACATAATTTGATTTAAAACTTTTAAAAAGGAAAAAGATAGACACTTGCATAATACACAACTGCGGATATCTTAGACATCTTGCTTTTTCGGCTCAAAATTACATTATTTCAAACATGACAGGGGCCATATGGTTGCAGATTCATTTCATGTCTTTATTGAACCAAGTGATTGTTACACAAAATTACTCAGACACAGATTACTTTCTACAAACTGATGCAGGAATGAGTTGTAAAAGACATAATGAAATCTGTTTGTTTGTTGTTTAACGCTGCACTCAGCAATATTCCAGCTATATGACGGCGGTCTGTAAAATATCGAGTCTGGTCCAGACAATCCAGTGATTGATATCATGAACACCGATCCACGCAATTGGGATACGATGATATGCATCAACCTAGTCAACGAGCCTGACTACCCGATCCCGTAAGTCCCTTTTTTTCGACATGCAAAGTCACCTTTTACGACAAGCATGGGTTGCTGAAGACCTATTATACCACGGATCTTCACGGGTTGACAGTCAGATGGTTATTGCTGTAACACTGACGATAAATGAGATATGCCATGTTTGCTTACTTTTCAGAAATAAAGTTAATTAGATCAAGAAGAACTGTTCAAATGATGATTCAAGCGTGAACCTTCCACTTCGACACAACGGTGTTTGATATATATATAGTCGCTCCAGTTTTACCTACAGAACAATATTATTGCAGAAGAGTGGGGCCTGCAAATACATTTTCCACCATATCTGTCAAGAGAAAAAGAGAAAAAGAGAAAATATATAAATATTTCATTCTCTTATTCTCTGAAAACAAAAAATCGTCAGAAGGATAATTTCGTCATCAGTATTCTTTTTAGTCATTTTATGGAAAATGCGAATAGAAAATAACGATTTTACGTGCTCTTTAAACATATGAACTTGGCGAAACCCGAGTCTGTTCCATTTACGAATGATTTCTTTCGTCTCAATTCAGCATTCTTCTCTTGATAAAAATATCCATTCCAGCAAAAAACATAATCGAAAGAAAAGTTTACGCAAAGTCAACCTTCCCTTCTGGTGCATGGTTTATAACCTCGGCGATTCAATCGGAACTCCATCGGAATGAATCGCCATCGCAACGTTGCAATTCTTGTCGCGTTAATGGAAGTCATACAGTACGTTCCGATTGTATCTATCACCTGTGCTTCCGGTACTCACAGAGAAAAAATCTAGCATATAAAGTAGCCCTTATGTCGTCTTCATCGCCATTAGGTAATAAAAAAAGATGAAATCTTGCTTTAAACCGCCAGTTACAGCCTTTCAGCACCCAAATCGGCTTCCCACTTTATGTTCTAAACATTACATTCCTCTGCCACATACAATTATGGATAAGGGGTCATATGGCCCTCTGCCTCTCAGCTGGGGACTGCTGACAATTCTCAGGTCAAGTCAGAGCCAAATATCACAAAATCATACAAATACAAATACATTTAGAAGCTGACTACAAACAACTTGTGTACCATATCGCAGTTCATTAGAGGTGAATATGTGTTATTGATGCATATTGTACATATGGCTGCTACGGAACATCGCAGGACAACAGGTCTGTGGGCTACAAATTTGATAATAATGAAACAGTTACTGCATAATAAGAATATATCCAGTCAAAGTGCATATCCTAATCAAATGACTTATATACATTAATCACGAAATAATGTTTCTTGTAACCATGTTCGTTTATAGAATAGTTACATTCACTATATATACAATAACAAAAAATGTATTTACAAAACGTAAGGTATACAAATTCAAGTGGACTCCCCTATTCCCGGGGAAAAGTACATTGCAAATCATCTAGATCCCGAGGGTGACAATCGAATGGAGGAGGGCACATGCCCCTACTGTTTTATCAAACCCTGTGTAGCCACCCTCAACGGAACAGCCAGATGGATGGGACTAAGGGTGAAACGATACACCGATATTCCGATGCATCGCGATACTTGACCCACGATACGATATACGATAAACGTGGGCCCATTTATCGATACGCCACGATACGGAACGCAAATCTCAAGTACAGCGTTTCCTCGGTATTGTGCCTTTCAATAAACCGCTAACTTGGTTATAGCGCGCGCTAACGCATGGCTCCCAAAAACGTACTTACATTTTTAATAAGCTCAGGTTTTACACCGACAGATGTTTTTCCCCATCTCATAAAACATTATCAGCTGATCACCGCAAGCACATAACACCGAAAATACCAGTCAAATCCGAACTGAAGTACGCAATTCAATACCATTATTATACTATCTTGTTATTAAAACGTGTTCATTGTATATCTGGACTTGTGTTTGTAATATATTTTATTAATTTTATTCAAAATTTCATTTAATATTGTTTTCATTAAGTTATGTGAAATTGTGTGTGAAGAGATACAGCAACCATGGTCAGATTACCGCTTTTGACGCATTGAAACGAACTTTAGTTGCTAGAGAATGGATACATATATAAAAAATGCCATACTTCGACTCGTTAAAAGTAATATTTGTGGCAATTTGGCTAATATATGTCAACATAACGTTATCGCAATCGAAATACATGTAGCACGGGAAGTCCATAATTGTTCCATACGTTAAAATATCCTGCAACAGCAATCACCTGTACCAAAATGCTACACTTGTGGTTCTTATAATTATATATATAATTATATAGTAAAAGCTGCAACTAAGTTAACACGATATTGGAATAAATTATTCCTGATAAAACAATAATTTCAGATACAATTTCTTCGACCATTGCACCAAAATTCTTTGAAGTTGTATCACTGGTGGAGTACATTAATTATTTTCTGGTGTTTGAACTTTGAATTGTTTTGAAGGAAAGTTGAACAACTTCAGTAGTCTTGTTATTATAAAATAATTTTGACTGTTCCAAAATCATGAAAGGTTCAATCTTTACATGCTTTTTAGTCTTTTTTTTTTTATCATTGCGTATCGAGATACGTATCGTATCGTGACCAGAATATCGAGATGCGTATCGTATCGTGACCTTCCTGTATCGTTGCAGCCCTAGATGGGACATGCGCTCCCTCCAAGCCCTAATAACTGCACCATCAGAAGAGCTTTCTACTATAATTTTTTGAAAATAATTGACAACTGTAACGGGTGGTAAATACAAGAATATGTTCAAAAGAAGATCAGACTGGGTGATGAACAAATAATGCCGGAATGTGTGTTGACACTTGTGCGAACAAAATACCCAAATGGGATAAATGAGCCATATATGGGACACAAGTGGTGGCGAACTGACTTTGTTATTTTTCTCTTTGTATATATATATTATCATTGATATTCTTTTAGACTAACATTTAGTCTCTGAAATCTTATATTACACAAAATCCTTCTTGACTCTAAAAATAAAAAAAATTCCCTATGCTGATTTCAGAATAGAGCTAGCTTGAGCTGGCTAGACTTGCTTTTGTATGCATTTCTAGGTTATTATTTTTTCATGAAATAAATATATTCCACGGTCATGGTGCAGGACTAATATTCTTTCAAAAACTGCAATTAATTTCTTTGGTGAAAATCAAAATTTTGTAAAGCATAACACAGTAATGAAACTCTTGGCATCATGTAACTGACTATGGCAATACAGTATCCTTATCAGACAAGTGATTGTGTTTTGTTTACACAAAGAGTGTAATTGCTCCTAAGAGGTCAAATGTGTGACTTGTGCTGTGTCTCAAAGTTGACAGGCCTTCCGTTCCCTCCTGGAGAAAAACGTGGCGGTTTAAGAATGTTCTGCACCCAAAATGTAGAGACGATAATGTGCCTAAACAGTATAATACTTGTATAGTCAGTTAACGCCCTTGCCTCGGGAAGATGATTCACTAGTCCCGCGCTCTCCACCAAACCTTTAATGCCGAGTGCGAAATCGGTCCTCCGGAAGCGCTCGTTAAATCTCCACCATCTTCATCATTATCAACAACCGTTTACTGTCTGTATCCGGGACTATCTGTTAGCGCCAAATGTCACGCCAAGGTAAAGGTCGGGTGCACTAGAGAGGAGGCGAATACAGCCAACATATAAACCGTGATACTTCTTCCGCCGCATACTCCCCTAGTCCTGCTGCTCCGTGTGCGTGTCTGGTAGCTATGCGTCCACATCACATGTAATGATAACGGAATCCGATTCATTGCCTTTATTATCGGGAGAGGAACATCAGAGCTACTGGTGAATGAATGAGCGATGGTTGTTCTTTAACGCCACACACAATATTCCAGCTATATGACGACTGCCTGACATTAATCGAATCTAGACCAGACTATCCAGTGATTGATATCACGATCAACAATCAACAATCAACGCCGTCGGGAACGATGACACGTTATCAACCGAGTCACCGAGCCTGGCCAATCGCCTTTTACGACCGGCATAGGTTGCCGGGGACTAATTCTAACCTGGAATCCCTAAAGAGATAGGAATGAGTGTTGTTTTACGCCGCAAACGGCAATTTTGAAACTGCAGTGAAAACTCGTGTATTCAGAGCAACACCGAAACCATATCGAATCCACACTACAACAAGGGAGACAACTGGATGCCTGTGACGTTTAGGATTACACAGGGATCAATTTGAAACAATCGTGTATGTGTTTCACTAACTTGGCTTTACAGAACTGTGCGAGAAAGCTATGATCGTGGGTCGGATCCCAGATTTACTCTGGTTAAGTTTCCAGGAATGTCCGCACTCTGCCCGTTGGTTTCACGACCGCCTCCGTGGTCTAGTGGTAGAGCGTCCGCCCGGAGAGCGGAAAGTCCGGGGTTCGGTCCCCGGCCGTGTCATACCAAAAGACGCAAAAAGATGGTACTTGTTCTTACCCTGCCTGGCGCGCGTCATTAAGGGTCTAAAACAAGAACTGGTCGGCTCGGGGTCAGTATACTGTGTCTGAGTAGGGTATATATGTTAAACTGCTGCATGGTATCTCAGTGGACTAGCACTATCAGTCGGCATCAGTCCGGACTAGTACAAGCAGCCACACACACACTCACTCACAGAGAGGTACACGTATATAAGTCTGTACGACCTTAGGGCTTTCCCACACATTAAGCTGGCACACACTGATATTACTGAAATACTGTTCAAAGCTGCGTCAAACCAACTCACTCACTCTGCTGTTAAGATACAAAGCAATTTCCTCATCAAGACCATGTATATGAAGATGGGGGTTTCAGGTCGGGTCGTTTCCTTGGATACCAACCAAATATTTTCGTAAATATTAAATTTCCTTAAGATATATATTTTTTTAATTTTGGGTCCCATTAAAATTCGCAAATATCATAAAAACGTCCTGAAAATTATATTAAATTTATATTGTCTCTGGCAAAATCACTGGTACATGCATGACTTTGCAGACATGGTCATCAGCTGAAATAGGACATTACCATTTCTCTAGAGCGTGTTGGAGATTTGGAATTTGGTCATCCACCCGACACGCGAGGAATCAGCCTTGAACAGTGAGAATGAAAATTCCCATATCTTATGAAACAATATCCCTGCCGCTATATGACGGCGCTCTGTAAATAATCGAATCTTGGCTAGAAAATCCAGTGATTGGCAACATGAGCATCGATCCACGCAACTGGGATGCGATGACATGCATCAATCAAGTCAGCGAGCCTAACCACCCGATCCCTTCAGTCGCCGCTTACGACAAGCATGGTCGCCTCTTTCGGGACTTGCTATGGAGTTACACATCAACAGAGTATGCAAAATATGCAGAAAGAACGTTTACAATATTGCCAATATCAGACATCTTCTCACAACAGAAGCAACATATCCCCTGGTGACATCTGTGCTGCAGTAGCCACTTTATCAACATCTTAAGGCATCACATTTCAGTCTATTTATAATACAGCAGCCCGTATTGAACCCCGAACTGGCAAATACTCACAAAGAGTACAAAATCTTCTCTCTCACTTTCCCATGCTATAAGACCCGTTAAGATCCGGGGTAGAATAGGTCTTCAGCATCCCATGCTTGCCATAAAAGACGACAATGCTTGTCGAAATAGGCGACTAACGGGATCGGGTGCTCAGGCTCGCTGACTTGGTTGATGCATGTCATCGATCCCAAATGCGTCGATCGATGCTCATGATATTAATCACTGGATTGTCTGGACTAGACTCGATTATTTACAGACCGCTGTCATATAGTTGGGATATTGCTGAGTGCAGCGTTAAACAACAAACAGACAAACACCATGAGCCCAGCAGCGCCAGGTCGAGCACCGCCTCTGTGAGTCAGTATGCTCGGCAGCGGGCGTCCCTGTGTGGAGCTAATGCTAGCAATAGGTGCCAGGCCGATACACGTTGGGAACGCTGTAGACTTGCACAGGTATCTAAGGCAATAATTATTAGTTTAAATCACAAAATCTAGATTATGTAAATAATAAGAACGAGTTGTCCCTATAAGAGACTGGAGTCCACATATCTTGTCTTGCAAATAAGGAGGATATAATTACCACATCAATGGACCTATCTTTCAGTACAGCCTTGGAGCAAGGCTAGGAACATTGGATCACAGACACTGGCTTCATTTGAACAGGACCACACAGTGACACTTTCTCTCCCTGGCAGCACCGGCTCCCGACACCATTCCGTTAGGTAACTATCATACCGATCCTAATTTAAAGAAAGAGTTTACAATACATAATATGTATCCATAAGGCAGTACACGGAATATAGTAGAATTTATTAAATGTTTCGCAGATATTAAAAGTCAGCGTTTGTTTTGTAAAAAAATCTCCTGCATATTGCGGCGTTATCTACACGCTGCGTTTAAACCGTACAATATATATACAAAACGAGCACCAGAGCGTGTTCGCGGGAGAGGGGGGGGGGGGGGGGGGGGGGGGGGTTAAGTGGGTGGGGGAGGTTGACTATGGGATGGCCGTGAGAGCGGATGAATATTAGTTGTTTTAATTGGTGGACACATTTACACGACAGGGTTCGGCAGGAGTTTCAGGTGATGAAGGATGATTTGCAACCGTCTCCGCCGCCTGTAAGTAAACACTGAACTGGGTAAAGGGAGAGCCTGTTCAAATAGTAAACTTTATCACATCTCCTGATTTTCAGCGAGACAGGAGGGGTGGACGCGACTACAGTCACATGTTATCATGGAGTAAGTGTGTAGTTTATACCATGTAGCTCTAGACAATACCGTCAGGTTATTCGTAATGTTGTGGGTAAGGTGTAGTTTTTGCTATTTAACTCTTGACAATTGTACCATGTTATTTATATTATCGCGTGGAGTACTTAAGATATATTTATAGAAGTGTGTAGTTTATACCATGTAGCTCTAGACAATACCGTCAGGTTATTCGTAATGTTGTGGGTAAGGTGTAGTTTTTGCTATTTAACTCTTGACAATTGTACCATGTTATTCATATTATCGCGTGGAGTACTTAAGATATATTTATAGAAGTGTGTAGTTTATACCATGTAGCTCTAGACAATACCGTCAGGTTATTCGTAATGTTGTGGGTAAGGTGTAGTTTTTGCTATTTAACTCTTGACAATTGTACCATGTTATTTATATTATCGCGTGGAGTACTTAAGATATATTTATAGAAGTGTGTAGTTTATACCATGTAGCTCTAGACAATACCGTCAGGTTATTCGTAATGTTGTGGGTAAGGTGTAGTTTTTGCTATTTAACTCTTGACAATTGTACCATGTTATTTATATTATCGCGTGGAGTACTTAAGATATATTTATAGAAGTGTGTAGTTTATACCATGTAGCTCTAGACAATACCGTCAGGTTATTCGTAATGTTGTGGGTAAGGTGTAGTTTTTGCTATTTAACTCTTGACAATTGTACCATGTTATTTATATTATCGCGTGGAGTACTTAAGATATATTTATAGAAGTGTGTAGTTTATACCATGTAGCTCTAGACAATACCGTCAGGTTATTCGTAATGTTGTGGGTAAGGTGTAGTTTTTGCTATTTAACTCTTGACAATTGTACCATGTTATTTATATTATCGCGTGGAGTACTTAAGATATATTTATAGAAGTGTGTAGTTTATACCATGTAGCTCTAGACAATACCGTCAGGTTATTCGTAATGTTGTGGGTAAGGTGTAGTTTTTGCTATTTAACTCTTGACAATTGTACCATGTTATTTATATTATCGCGTGGAGTACTTAAGATATATTTATAGAAGTGTGTAGTTTATACCATGTAGCTCTAGACAATACCGTCAGGTTATTCGTAATGTTGTGGGTAAGGTGTAGTTTTTGCTATTTAACTCTTGACAATTGTACCATGTTATTTATATTATCGCGTGGAGTACTTAAGATATATTTATAGAAGTGCGTAGTTTATGCTATGTAGCTCTAGACAATACCGTCAGGTTATTCGTAATGTTGTGGGTAAGGTGTAGTTTTTGCTATTTAACTCTTGACAATTGTACCATGTTATTTATATTATCGCGTGGAGTACTTAAGATATATTTATAGAAGTGTGTAGTTTATACCATGTAGCTCTAGACAATACCGTCAGGTTATTCGTAATGTTGTGGGTAAGGTGTAGTTTTTGCTATTTAACTCTTGACAATTTTACCATGTTATTTATATTATCGCGTGGAGTACTTAAGATATATTTATAGAAGTGTGTAGTTTATACCATGTAGCTCTAGACAATACCGTCAGGTTATTCGTAATGTTGTGGGTAAGGTGTAGTTTTTGCTATTTAACTCTTGACAATTGTACCATGTTATTTATATTATCGCGTGGAGTACTTAAGATATATTTATAGAAGTGTGTAGTTTATACCTTGTAGCTCTAGACAATACCGTCAGGTTATTCGTAATGTTGTGGGTAAGGTGTAGTTTTTGCTATTTAACTCTTGACAATTGTACCATGTTATTTATATTATCGCGTGGAGTACTTAAGATATATTTATAGAAGTGTGTAGTTTATACCATGTAGCTCTAGACAATACCGTCAGGTTATTCGTAATGTTGTGGGTAAGGTGTAGTTTTTGCTATTTAACTCTTGACAATTGTACCATGTTATTTATATTATCGCGTGGAGTACTTAAGATATATTTATAGAAGTGTGTAGTTTATACCATGTAGCTCTAGACAATACCGTCAGGTTATTCGTAATGTTGTGGGTAAGGTGTAGTTTTTGCTATTTAACTCTTGACAATTGTACCATGTTATTTATATTATCGCGTGGAGTACTTAAGATATATTTATAGAAGTGCGTAGTTTATGCTATGTAGCTCTAGACAATACCGTCAGGTTATTCGTAATGTTGTGGGTAAGGTGTAGTTTTTGCTATTTAACTCTTGACAATTGTACCATGTTATTTATATTATCGCGTGGAGTACTTAAGATATATTTATAGAAGTGTGTAGTTTATACCATGTAGCTCTAGACAATACCGTCAGGTTATTCGTAATGTTGTGGGTAAGGTGTAGTTTTTGCTATTTAACTCTTGACAATTGTACCATGTTATTTATATTATCGCGTGGAGTACTTAAGATATATTTATAGAAGTGTGTAGTTTATACCATGTAGCTCTAGACAATACCGTCAGGTTATTCGTAATGTTGTGGGTAAGGTGTAGTTTTTGCTATTTAACTCTTGACAATTGTACCATGTTATTTATATTATCGCGTGGAGTACTTAAGATATATTTATAGAAGTGTGTAGTTTATACCATGTAGCTCTAGACAATACCGTCAGGTTATTCGTAATGTTGTGGGTAAGGTGTAGTTTTTGCTATTTAACTCTTGACAATTGTACCATGTTATTTATATTATCGCGTGGAGTACTTAAGATATATTTATAGAAGTGTGTAGTTTATACCATGTAGCTCTAGACAATACCGTCAGGTTATTCGTAATGTTGTGGGTAAGGTGTAGTTTTTGCTATTTAACTCTTGACAATTTTACCATGTTATTTATATTATCGCGTGGAGTACTTAAGATATATTTATAGAAGTGTGTAGTTTATACCATGTAGCTCTAGACAATACCGTCAGGTTATTCGTAATGTTGTGGGTAAGGTGTAGTTTTTGCTATTTAACTCTTGACAATTTTACCATGTTATTTATATTATCGCGTGGAGTACTTAAGATATATTTATAGAAGTGTGTAGTTTATACCATGTAGCTCTAGACAATACCGTCAGGTTATTCGTAATGTTGTGGGTAAGGTGTAGTTTTTGCTATTTAACTCTTGACAATTGTACCATGTTATTTATATTATCGCGTGGAGTACTTAAGATATATTTATAGAAGTGTGTAGTTTATACCATGTAGCTCTAGACAATACCGTCAGGTTATTCGTAATGTTGTGGGTAAGGTGTAGTTTTTGCTATTTAACTCTTGACAATTGTACCATGTTATTTATATTATCGCGTGGAGTACTTAAGATATATTTATAGAAGTGTGTAGTTTATACCATGTAGCTCTAGACAATACCGTCAGGTTATTCGTAATGTTGTGGGTAAGGTGTAGTTTTTGCTATTTAACTCTTGACAATTGTACCATGTTATTTATATTATCGCGTGGAGTACTTAAGATATATTTATAGAAGTGTGTAGTTTATACCATGTAGCTCTAGACAATACCGTCAGGTTATTCGTAATGTTGTGGGTAAGGTGTAGTTTTTGCTATTTAACTCTTGACAATTGTACCATGTTATTTATATTATCGCGTGGAGTACTTAAGATATATTTATAGAAGTGCGTAGTTTATGCTATGTAGCTCTAGACAATACCGTCAGGTTATTCGTAATGTTGTGGGTAAGGTGTAGTTTTTGCTATTTAACTCTTGACAATTGTACCATGTTATTTATATTATCGCGTGGAGTACTTAAGATATATTTATAGAAGTGTGTAGTTTATACCATGTAGCTCTAGACAATACCGTCAGGTTATTCGTAATGTTGTGGGTAAGGTGTAGTTTTTGCTATTTAACTCTTGACAATTGTACCATGTTATTTATATTATCGCGTGGAGTGCTTAAGATATATTTATAGAAGTGTGTAGTTTATACCATGTAGCTCTAGACAATACCGTCAGGTTATTCGTAATGTTGTGGGTAAGGTGTAGTTTTTGCTATTTAACTCTTGACAATTGTACCATGTTATTTATATTATCGCGTGGAGTACTTAAGATATATTTATAGAAGTGTGTAGTTTATACCATGTAGCTCTAGACAATACCGTCAGGTTATTCGTAATGTTGTGGGTAAGGTGTAGTTTTTGCTATTTAACTCTTGACAATTGTACCATGTTATTTATATTATCGCGTGGAGTACTTAAGATATATTTATAGAAGTGTGTAGTTTATACCATGTAGCTCTAGACAATACCGTCAGGTTATTCGTAATGTTGTGGGTAAGGTGTAGTTTTTGCTATTTAACTCTTGACAATTTTACCATGTTATTTATATTATCGCGTGGAGTACTTAAGATATATTTATAGAAGTGTGTAGTTTATACCATGTAGCTCTAGACAATACCGTCAGGTTATTCGTAATGTTGTGGGTAAGGTGTAGTTTTTGCTATTTAACTCTTGACAATTTTACCATGTTATTTATATTATCGCGTGGAGTACTTAAGATATATTTATAGAAGTGTGTAGT